CTGTACTCACTTGCACCCTTCCTCTCAAAATGACTGTGCCATCATTGGTCAGCACTAACGTTCGCTCGCTATTCGCGAACATCTCGGATTTAATCTCCATTCTGAACACACGCAATAATTTCAACACGTTTTGTATGTGCACACGAAACCTGGTAGAATCAAAACGTAGAGAACGTATTTGTGCGAACAGAAAGTTTGATTGCTACCGGCAAGATAGACAGCGACGTGGGGAAAACACTGGAGGCGATGTGGCTACTTACATCACTGTTTTCTGGTGCGGCAAGTCAGAAGTGATATATAACTATTCTGAAAACTGCACGAACTGTTTGTCTGTTCGTTCTCACCCTAAATTTTCCCGTCACACTAGTACAACTATCACTAATGTGTATCTGTCTCCCTCGTGTTCCCAGATGGAAATTTCTGCTTTCTTTGATTCCTATATTCCGTTTCTAGTTTCATTATTAGATTAAAATCTTCACCTACTTGTTGGTAATTCATTCATGCAAGCTTATGCTTGGTTTGTCTGACCTCTCATTTTCCTACCAGAGGTAGTTCTGTGCTGGACAGAGTGATCAGAAACCATCCCAACTTACTCTCTCAAACTTATGGCCCCGGTTTCTACCAGTGGCCATGGTATTCTTCTTGTTATACTTTCGCACTGCTGTTCTACTCAGATAAAATTTAATCTAAGGGACTTTTCATCTAACCGTATCTCTCTTCTCAACCGTTCTGTTGTGATTGTTCATTGGTCCATCGCTTTTAAATGTCAGTCTTTTCCCTGAAAAGACTCAATCGATCTTTAACTTGTGTTGTCCAATGAAAACCCCGTTTTTCTGGAACGGCAGAATCACCTAACCCTTTTTGAAATCACTGAGAAGGCACAAAGAAATGGCCTACAAATCTGACCATGCATCAATTGAAAAGCACTATTCTAATTTAATCAGTGTATCAGTATTTCCGAGACCCATAAAAAGTTATTCTAAAAGGCCTAAGTAGATATTTGAGTTGCTAACTACTACAAATGCAAGGAGCAATGTAAAACTTCACACCCATGAAACATTAATTGTTGGCTGGAAGCCAGCAGCGGTAAAAACGATCTCGACTTGGGCCTTTTGAAACGCAACTCTTTGGGGGTCTGGAAGATACCGATGCACAGTCATGTCCAATATTCTGGGTTTTCTTGAGAAGATCAAAACAATCATAGTTAATGGAAGCTCGATTATTATTTACGCGATCATCGATAAAATACAACTATGATTTTCGATTGGTTTTCCTCTGCACAGTAAAATGTACGTCTGTCCGATTTCGATGTTAGAAAGCTTTGCAACCGTCCGTTTCAACACCACGCCTGGTTCACCACTCTAAGTCCCGGGGCTGAGGTTACCGGTTTTCACTAATAATCAAGGTCTTCGTGACTATGGGGTCTGCCCCGACTGCAGTTTGTCACGCAGGTGTATGTGATGATACAATGGTACATACAAACTTTAGTTGACTCTATTATCCAAATATACTAAAGGAGAACTAGGATCATCGCCAACTCACTCGTGTTAGCTCGTGATGGTTATTCTCCTTGGACGCAGCCTGCGCTGTACTCATTGTCTCTGAGGCTGCCACCTTTGGTGATTGAAGACCGGAATAGTTCGAGACAGGACGATAAGGAGCGGGGAACTCTGGTGTGCGTGACCAAGTGTCTGTCTCACTGGGAGCACTAGGTCGCGCTACTGAGACCATCGGGGCTCTCAGACGTGACTGGAATGAAGTCGACGGAGAAATAGTTGTAGTCGCGAGATTATGGGATGCAGTCAGAGCCACGTCCGGCTTTGAGGTCTCCACAATAGCGTTCTCCACCGTGCTTGAAATATTCGGCTGAACGAAGGTTGTAACGGACGCATGTGACGGAATGGACACCAGACTTATATGTTTCTGCTCACTTGTGAATGATGAAACAAACGTCGCTGACTCAACTGGATGTTGCTCAGCCTCAGATTTGGACGTGCTGACCACAGTTGATGAGAATGTTTGCAATTGGCTGATGGATGATGCTTCCTGGTCGGGTGAGGCATGATCAGTTTGCACCGTTTTGATCACTATATCATTCTGACTTGCGGCCACAGTAGTTGATTCCGTAGTGAATGATCGCAACGTTTCTGTGTGTGCAGGCGCACTTGTAGTGGGTTGAATAGCGGCTGATTGTATGGTGCAACTAGAAGTGTGTGTTGTCGTTTCGGAAGTCGATATTTTGACTGGTGAACTAAAGAGAAGCAGATGACATAAGAGTATTTTTGTTAGGCATATTTTCTTTCTAGATAACTCAATTAATCGAGTAGTGTTATGACAGGTGCATTGACGCAAAGTACTGGAAACCAAAAAATGGATGATTTCATAAGCGCGAAGCAATCTGAGATCAAGAATGGATAGCCAAGAAAAAGTTGTTACTCAGAAATACGGTTTGTCTATCATGGGTTTTCCATGTACGTATTGTTCATTTCAATGAATGCACCAAATAAAATATATATCTAAGAATATGTATGAGCTGAATACATGAAAATTGAAAGTATTTGTGTGATATGTCGAAGTGAAAGGGCGACATGATATGACAAAAACTGTTTCACTGTCATTCTTACCTATTTCTTACCTATAAGCAAATCAGCCTAAAGGATAAATTCATAAAGCTTGAGAAAATGGTGAAATTGGCGGAATCAGACTTGTTCAGCCAATTTATTCGAGTATGTGCTTCTGACTCTTGCACATCTAAGTCCTACATCAGGGATGACAAGATGCTCTCGAAAGACTTCCGAATTCATCCACGAGACGATGTTTCCGGTGGAGATTTGTAGCTTATTGATGCATAAACAGACGGATTAGCACATAAAGCACTGCCACGATTTCAATATCTTTTCTGATAATAAATAATTTATCCAGTGAATCAATTTCCAACTAATTACGAATAACCNCCACTCAAGTGTTCGGGCGCTTAGCCAAGATCTGGAAGGGCGTCGGGTAGCGAAGACTGCAGACTACATCAAGTGAGGCTGGTAAATGCGACGATGAAGATGCGAGGTTTCGCTCCTTGCGAAAAAACTGGGGTTACTGTGTTAATCTATGGAGTTGTTCACTACAGTTATGGTATAGTTTTCGATTAGCAATCTCTATTCCTATAAAATTTCGATTAGATTTTGTGTTACAACTGCACCGTATCGGAGATAAAAATAAACCATCTAGTTCTGTCAGATATGGAAGACATGCCTATTAAGAAAAATGCTTCTGAAAATCATCGTTCCTTTTCACCCGCTAATAACACACCTCGAACTAAAGGTAATTATAGATCGAGGAGTAAAACAATTAAGTGAGGCTAGCTAAATTTTGAAACATTTAAATAACTCAGGCGCTTACCAAAACAAGATACGAAGCATCTGACAGTACACGAAATAATGTTTGAGGTAGGGGGAATGCTGATCAAACCAGATCGATCGAAGATTAAGTGTTCAGTTGATATGATTTGATTTGCAGCTTTTCGGGTTGAGGTTTAAATCGATCATATTATTTGTCAAAACTGGTCTGTAATATGGGATTCTAATTCAGGTCCCTTCTGAATAGGCTGTCCCCGGTGATTTTGGTTTGGGAGATAACGAAACTCCAGTGTTCGATACGGGAGATCAAATAGGTTCCAACCAGTTGAGATGAGTCGATCGTTTGACCGATGNNTGACCGATGTGTCAGGGAGACGACAGATTCTCTTGTGAAAACCACAAGGGAACTAGTTAATCTAACACCATTAAAAACATTTCGCTGGCATTATTCCCCATGGATGGCCCGCCGCAATGGAACACTGTACATATGAAAACCAGACTGGTTTTGAACCTGCTGAAGGTTGTATCAATCATGATTTTACTTCTCCCCAAATTCTGGAAAAAAAACATTATTGTTCCACAGACCCACAATTTCAATCAGGTTTGGTCTGAAGGCGGCCATGACTCGGTCGCGGCTCTATATTCTGACACCTCCTCTCCTTGAAGGGTCTACACGAGCGGCTTTATTTGAATATTACGAAGCTGCATCTTTGTTGAAGCTATGTTCAGTGAGGAAGCGTAAAGATTGCCCTCTCTTCTTTTTAATTTTGCAATGAATACGTTTCTGGAAAAAGACAATATTGTACTTCTAAGTGAAGACCCATGCAAGTTGCAAGTGTTTATAGAAGAATTGAGTGGTAGTTTGACCACGGTCAGCATGTGTTTTATACCTTCAAAGTGTAAGATATTGCCACAGGACCAAGGTTAGTACAGCTTGAAACCTCACCTTAAATTTGAAAGTGAGAAAAAGTTGACAAACTTTGTTATTGGAACAGCGAAGTTTCACCCGGCGGACACATCAAGACTGCAGCAGTTCGATCAGTAACGCTGTGTGGTGCGGCGACTTGGCCGTTAGGAAAACAAAATAAAAATGGCCCGTGGGGGTTCGACTACCAGTGTCTACACCACATCGTGACAGTCTCGTGGAGAAACCGGACACAAAATGTTGAGTTTAGGTGCAGAGCTTTTTGGTAATAGGGGTCGCTCACTGGAGCGTTGGGTCGATCTCGATTGATTACGTTGTTGAGCATATCACTAAATAAACTGCCACAGCAAACGATGTCTACCGAGGCAGGCAATGGTTCGGAAAAAAACGAGGGTGGTCAAAAACGGGTATGAGGGTGTGAAAACCCTGGTCAAGGGACACAGTTATATCGGTCACGTTAGACTTCATTGACGGCAACCTCGAGAGCAGCGTAACCGGTTGTTGTCGACACTGAGTCATACGGCTGAAGGTCGTAAACAGTCACATTCGAGCATCCACTCAACATTCTTGCAACCTCAATCTATTTGAAGTCTCTATTTTCACTTCAATCCTGCTCTGAACGTTCCAACCTTCCCTCTAATACTTCATATAGGTGAACTGCAAAAACCGGCAAACCAAACCGGCCGTACGAAAGAACCTTTCTTATAGTTGCATAGACTGAAGCCTAGTTAAGTTCATCCAACCTTGCACATTCAGGAGACTTTCTGGTTGCTGTTATTTGGGCTATTATTCGTTCGATCAGTCTGACAGTCTCGCACATCCTTTTTGAAAAAGGTCTTCCTGGGTCATTCTATATTTGAGGACAACCAACCAATGCGAAAATAGAATAAAATGAATGTCAAGTTCTTTCGTATTGAGAAAGGAGTTTAGGGAAAAGAGACACCGATGTTTACTGTTCGCAAGCTCCGCACACAAGACACGAACGAATTGACTCAAACGGGCGAATTCACTGATTCTGAGAGGACACAAAAGCAAACAGACTCACCTTGGGGTCGCACTAACAGTGACCGAACCACCCAATGGAGCGACAACATTAGAAATAACTTCATGCTGAACTTTGTTTTGCGGCGAAACAACTGTAGCAGTTGTTTGAGCAATCGGACTCGGTGAAGCTGTTTCGGATTCCACTTTGGTAAGCTTGGTTAGAGCCCCCGTGCAAAACTCACGGTTGGCTTCCACTTCTGCAGATATCTTTGTCTCATTTTTGACCTCGCGATCCTTCACACATTTTGCTAATGCATTGGATACCACAGAAGGCGATTCGCCGACCGGGGATCGATCAAACCGTGCGGGTGGCGATTGTGTCACGGCACCGAAAGATGTTAATGAACTGGGTGAGGTCGGAGTGACCGGAGTGATCAGTGTGGATTTGATACCCAACGAATATGCGTTGGTAGCAGAAGGATCCGTGGGTGAGTTTGGTGGGCTGCGATTCACTTTGATCGGATCGAAAAGCGGACTGGGCAACGATCTATTGTCGGACAAAAAACAGCGTTAACAGGACAGCTTTTTATTACTAACTTAAAAGGAAGATCCAATTATGAGGTTGTTTCTGTGTGTAAGCCGGTGATATAAACAGAATTTCAAGCAGCGGGGTAAATAATGGCATTAGTGAGGAATTTGTATGCACCAAATATTGGCGAAAAAATGGCAAATGACTGTTTGAATTCGATCTCAGATGGTTGGAGTAGCGCGCAGAACTTGAAGGAAAGAAACTGTAATACATTCTTCCGGGTAGGACAAAAAATGTCCACGTTATTGTTCATCCACTTGAGGCATGATGCATACCTGCTGAACCTTGAGTGACCGATAGAATGCTATTGAAAAAGGGGAAAAGATCTGTTCCGTCCGCAGATATCCGTTTGGAACCCCGGAGAATTCGCGCAGACAGTGGTACGACTAATAGAACACAACCCAATTATGAGCAGAAAATGGAGTGCAAAAAATAAATGTTCAAACACAGCTCCATAGGCAGTCTGGCTTACTGATAAGTGGGCAACGAATACATCATGTTGTCATCCAAACTCTCTTCCAAAATCTCCCTGCAGTTCTTCAGCGGGATCGTCGCACTGTCACATTTCATTACGAGTGCGATGTTCCTGCGCAGACTCCAAACGCTCAATATATTTCCTCGATCGTGCTTCAGTTCGATTGAATAACACCACATAAAAATCGACGTCAATTGAATACCATTATCGTCGACCGGATAGTCAGTCAACTTTTTGCAGTGCGTAGTGGCTGTATCAGTTAGGTCATTCAGAGTCACTTCTCAACCACACCTGTTCTTTTGAGGTTGGAATGACCAACATTTTGGAAATGACTAGACGAACCGTTACCAGCAAGCTAACTAAGCTCAGGCAGATAAAGGTATTCTAAGCAGTGGAGCAAGTTGACGAGAGTGGAGCATTACCACGTCTACTCTGTGAGAGCTTTGACATTACTATATATATACATATTATATATTATACATATTGCTATCCGATATAATTAACAAGGACAAGCTTATAAATGAAATAATAACAAAAATAAATGCATTTTACTTCTTTTCTTTCCGTTTATTGAATGCACAAATGTAAAGTCAACAATCAGGAAAGGGGACTGCGGCTATACAAAGGCTGCCCGGAAAGACAGGCAGCGATGGAACGATTCGAATCCGGGACTCAGAGGTTACACGTTGATGACCTAACCATTAGGCCACCACCACCATACGAAGTTGAACTGAGGATGAACTTCATTGAAACGTAGTTTTTCCGCAGAAATATTTATATGGAGTGCGTTTAGCGAAACCAGTCAGCGGAGTGGTTACAATTGACCAAACTTATACCTGAATGATTGAACACGCGAAACTATTTCACTCAGGCTATGCTCCCTTTCATAGGCATTCCACCCCACCGAACAACCCGGTCTTGCACGTGACAACACATGGAACAACCAAACGCACCAAGATCCGAGCAATCCTAACTTTATGCTACAATAAGATACAGAAAAAGGGGTAAAAAACTGGTAAAATTTTCGAGCAATTTAACCGGACTTCCACGTGTGTTAAATCTGCTGTCCAATGGAACTGATTACGACTAGCGGGAATGTTTCTCCGTGAAGTAGCAAGGCACGTTCATCAGCATGTCAATGTGTCGTACACAAAACAAAAACCTCCTCGAGTGAACTAAATTCTGGAAAGCTGGGTCACTAAAAAAGCCGGTCCACTTAGTCTCTAGTCCTGGACACCATAAAACAACAAGCTAGGTGGGTTCTTACGGATGAATGGGTCGTAAAACAGAAAGCAAAGCGAACGCAGGCTAACTGACTGTTGGTAGTGTGTAAATACTCACTTGTAATTATGCTTACCTGTTGAAAGTACCGGGGAAATTCAACAAAACTAGATTTTGGCGTATGAGGGTTTGGTGTGTGGAACAGATTCGATTTATTCTCAAAGTCTTTAAATACAATTTGATGAACAGTGATTTTTAGATACATTCCGTGATGAACTCAACACAAGTTTCCGCCACTGCCAATTTCGTACGAAGCTTAACATACTTGATAAGTTTACGTAGTCTTTAGGTTCTTTTAATTCCCGGAATATACCAGCGACACACATTGAATGAAAAATGCAGTTTAGCGAAAAAAGCTTTCTTTCACTTAACTGCATTTTTCAATCAATGTGTGTCGCTGGTATATTCCGGGATTTAAAACTAGATTTTCACCGAACAGGGAGCAGGATTAAGCGAGCATTATTCCTAATATGATGATGGAACCCAAATTGTGCGTAATGAACTATTTAGTCCCAATTTATGTTGATGCCTGTTAGCCGAAAGCATTCAAACATGGAATAAAGTAAACAGAATAAAGTTATTCAGTTCATTTTTCGTGGGTATCCTATTCAAAGTAGTCTAGTAGTGAATCAAAGCGATGGTTCCAAACAATTTTTAGATGCTACAAACCGCGACCAACTTTGCTGAATGTCATTTATAAAATGTCGAGGAATGTAGTAGATGAATGACCGGACAAAATTTCTCTGGAAGCACACGACAGGTTTAACTGCCATTGCAGCTCGTCAGGTATGCATATCCTGTAGTCCATCATTTAGTAATCCATATAATCAAACCTCAGAAGTATATTTTCGTCACAGTTCTCTAACCAGTGACACAGACTGTATTTATCTCGTGAAAATGACATTCAAAGCGGTCCATTATAATAAATATTGTGGGAAATGATTGTTTTGATCTACTAATGGACTGCAAAGAATATATTCCAAAAATAACTACGTCCCGTATGGTTGATTAGAGAACTGAATAAAATATACAATTGAGGCTCAATTATACGAATGACTAGATGACAGATTACCGCACACACAAAACTGACGAACGATAATCACGGCAAAACTAGTCGTGTGCATAACAAGAAATTTTTTTGGTCATTCACATGTTACTTAATAAACATTGTATATATGTGTATATATCTTACGAACTCATCACTAAATAGAAGTCTGTTTTGTTTGAAACTGCTTCATTCAACGCGCTTACTGAGAGTTCCTAACACAAACGGCACACACCCTAATGACAGCAATAACGGCGCGACTGAATATGTGAATTTTATCTTACATTTCTGTCCTTGGTTGCTGCCTATCGACCACCGTGTCAAGCATGGCTACTCACAAGACATGGACACCATCGAATCCTATTCCATACGCTGCAATTATTCCATTTAAAGGGCTGATAGAAACATCTCTTAACCTGTTAACGGGACGTTCTAAAGCCAACAGCAATATTTTTGACAGACAGTTTCTTCAAGACTGAGTGGCCACTACAGCTTACTCCAGAACCATTCTCATGGAGTGCCTTCCCTCAAGTGTACACTTAAATATTTATACCGATAAAGAATAGTTTTCTCCGAATGGGACAGAAAGGAAAATATTTAAGAGTGAAATGGCCTTC